ATTTTTATAGAAAAACATTTCACCTTACCTATACGTGAAAACAAATTGAATTCATATTCTCCCATTAAATATATGCACTTTCAAATAGTACAAGGCATTCACATAAAAACCTTCCCCTATGTTGTGTATCTTGAAAACATATGGAATATTTAAAATCAGATATAACAGCCAAGATTATACATATCCTAAGAATTTAAATCAAGTGTGTAAATAATCATTATTAACTTTTGCTCTAGCCACAGCATATAAAAAAATGTACATCTCTACTATTATAAAGAGATATCATAGAAAAGTTCACATCTTACATGTATGCCAAAACATCTAAAGAATCTTGTGTTCTGAAAGAATTATATTTGGTCAAAATTTAGTAGTCTATAAATTGTTCTAAATGGAACTAGCTGATGGTGATCTGTCTTTTTCTAAGAAGATATCTTTCTTTCTTTATTACAATGGAGTTGGTAAGTATCCATAACTTTATTAGTATTTCTTGAAATTAAAAAACATCATAATAATTCACTGAATCAAATTAAGTGAATTGCAATTTCAAGAGGATGTAAGTTCGAGTAATTATTTAAAACTACAAAAATATTTTTAAAAACAAACAGAAAAGCACGATGGGCAATAAAAGCAGAAAATGAGGGTATCTTAACACTAATGACTATCTCTAAGGTTGGAAAATTGTATATGACAAAACTCCCAGAGAGTAATGACAGAGAAAACTGACTGAGACAGTCTCAAAGTCTGCTCTGTGACCCATTTCCATGACCATGTTATCCAGGCAATCAGCAGTGTGAAGCCAGTGAGACAAGTTTCCTTTCACGCTCCCTTCACACACCCCCCAATCACCAGAGTCACCCACTTTGTTATGGCTTATGTATTTGTTTTCAACCAACATTTTTGAACTAAAGGTTTAGCCTAATTTTCCTAAAACTATTTTATTAATGCTTTTAATACTTCAATAAGAGATTTAAAGGGCTCTTTGACCTTCAGGTGTTTTTAGAGAACAAACTAAATTTTCTCTTAAACAAGTTTTACTTGTTCTGAAAGATGTGGTTTTTATCTGCAGGGAAGAAAAAGAGAAAAAGCCAGAGTCTTTAGAATTGGCAGGATGACCTCATTTTTGTTTCCATACAGTTTCTGGTGTCCATCGGTTGGCTGTGACGTGATCAATCACAAGAATTCTAACTGCCATCAATATTCCTTTGTAACTGCGATGGTTTGAGTGAACTCTTTCCATCTTCAATAACTGACACAGTGTCAACATCTGCTTTCAATAAAGTTTCTTTTTTTCCCTCAAGTTGAGTAAATCTGCTGACTGAGATCGTAAAGTGTTGTGTTTTTTTTTCCCCCTTTTTCAGGCAAAAGATTTTTTCCACCATATTTTGCAACTTTTTCTCTAAGGCAAGTTTAAAACAATCAGATAACTTAAAAAGAAACATTTTTATTCCAGGTGCCAAGGAAGTCCTAAGTATAGTTGATAAATATAAACTTTGGTGATTTAATGAAACTGATCTCATAATTTTGGGAACAATAAAGTATAGGGTCCTGAGTGAATTAAAGTTTGGAATATGTAAGAAAATGCAGAGCTAGATCTTAGAAATGGTATACTAAAACAACAGAGCTAATTAACTTTTATTTCCATACCTAGCGAAAGAGAAAGATTCATTCTGTAATAATTTCTAACAGAAAAGCAATCATTTATCTACTTGGTTCTGCAAAAATGGATATAGAAAGTGAAAAGAAGGGATATTTTGGAGCTCAATTTAATAAAGCAGTTACTCAACTGACAGACATTCGTGATAGCTGTCATTTATTGAACTAAAATAAACCAGATGATTGATTACATATATATATATATATGTATATATATAAATATATATATAAATATATATATATATATAAATATATATATATATAAAGATTTCCAATTTCCACAGTTGCCTGTTAGAGTTTATTATCCAACTTTACTCAGGTGATAGTTGAATAAAGCCTCAAATTGCACATTAAATTGTGGCAAAGCTAGAATTTGGAGAATGACTTAATATCTAAGATCTTTTCTATTAATTCATCCTGCTTCTCTATTCATTCCCCAGTCAAAATTCTAACATACATACTTTCTTTTTTCACCAATAATATCTTGTCCCCACTGGTTTAATTCAGAAAATACTGTTTAACAAAGGAATATTCATTAGGAATAGAATGAAATTTCTTGAAATATAGTTTGTGATTACTATTTTAAATTACAAACATAACTTCAAACCAAAGAGTAAACTCAAAAGGTATATCCTATCACATATTCTGAAAGTCTTAGAATAAGAATGAGCAAATACTATCCACATAAATGAATAACAAGCTCCTTGAGTGTCTCTAATGCCAGTACTTAGAATTCATGTAGAAAAAAGTTACAAAGCTGAAGAAAATAGTTCTTCAGTTAATTGCAATCCACTAGTTTTTATTTTACAAAATGTTTAGTTCTTCAGTTATTTGCAATCCACTAGTTTTTATTTTACAAAATGATGAGTAACCTGGGCCATTTTTGCCTAATATAATAAATAATCTTAGAAGGATAGTAGAAGGTGAGAGAAATAGAGGGAAAACTTCAGAAAGAATGATTACCCTTTTTAAGAAGAGTTCACTTACAAATCTTCCCTGGGTACAGAATAACTCAGGTTTCCAAGTTTTCCAGGACTCCAGAACCAAGAAATGTTCTATCTAGTAGTTACCAGGAGAGACACAGAGCAAAGCATAAATTCAGGGTACAGACATCTATTATAATTTTCTACTCTCTCTTCTTCAATTTGATTTGGTGGAAAATAAGGGTCAAAGAGTTGATATCTTTTTTAATTGAGAAAAACTAATGGAATGATCTGGACGAGTTTGAGTACAACAGTGTTTGAAGAAACATTGCAAAGGTAGTTAGTAGGGTCTAAGGAAAGAGAAGGCAAATTAACAATCCCAGTGAGTTACTCCATGGGGAATGATGAATTTTGGCCTCAAAATCTCAGAAGGACACAGGACAAAATGAATTTGATACTGTAGATTCACTCAACTCTGTGCTCCACATATTTGGGCAAAAATAAAAACAAAACCATTGTATCAAATAGAATGAGACATCAAAATGTAAATAATTTAACCAGGCCATTCCCTAGAAATTTAAATTCACATTATTGAGTAGAAGGTATCTTAAGGAGAAGAAAGAACGTGATGAAAATACATTAAGAGAATGTACAGGTTGATAACTCACTGGCTGCACCAGGAACAAAAACGAAAGCAGAAAATACAGCTAAGGGAAATATCTGAAAATGAACTGTGAGAACTCTGCCTAGCTAAGCGTGTTGTATCTTTTATGTCTGCAATGTCCACACGCAATATGCACAATTAAAGATGGAAAGTGGAAAGAGGCAGTGAGCATTGTATTTCATGTGGGAGGCAATTAGGGTGAGAGAAATTTGAGAACCTCTCCCTAACAAAACTAAAGCTTTCATATTCTACTATCCTTTTTACATGACACATCTCTGGAAGCAGGTGAATGAAGGGTTACACTTTGCCTTTATATTCCTTAACTTATTGATATTTCTACTTTCATAATGTCAATCTTT